CTGGGGAAAAAATTTCCAAAAATTCAGGAACAAAATAAAAATATAGATTCAGGAAATTATGCTGAAGAATAGTGACTTGAGGTACCAGATATCTTGCAGTAAATTCAAATAAAATAATGTATAGTATATACATTCGTTGGGCATTGAAAAATGCCTACTTCCACCGAATGCTAAAAATGTCAGAAGTGAAAGATTAAATTATATCGGAAATTTCCGCGTCATTTATAAATTTAATTAACCGAATAAAAATATCAATATTTTGTGAATTCAACAAATCAGAAAGATTTGTGTAATCGTTAAATAGATCATGTTTGTTTCTTATAGACCTATACTAATCACAGTGGAAAATAACAAAATGTACCTCAATAATACAGGATTGATCTACAATTCTGTGTATGTCATACATCAATTGATTCAAAGACCGCGATTGTCGCAAAACCATTACATAATTGATACTATCCGTAAATATGACAAGTCGAAGAAATCCCTTCTCCGCAGCAACCTCCACTGCCTTTCTGATCGCCAAAAGTTCACCAGTAAGGGACGAGAAAACATGGGGATATCTTAGCAAGTAGAAGCGTTCAGCACATACGACAAAAACGGCACATCCAGTTGAATCATGCGAAACGGAGGCATAGGTAGCAAGGATGTCAAAACCTTTTGATTTGTATTCCTCAAGTCAGGAAAGATAATGAGACCTGATAGCCTCAGGTGGAGGTGGCGGAGGTGTACCAGTCCTTTTCCCAAAAGGAGAGTTACATATGAAACGAAATTTGTCAGACAAGCAACAGGGGTCAAGATGTGAAACTTTGTCGAAAATTTCACGAAATTTATGATATACAAAAGAGTAACTATTGTTCAGATTAGGCGCAGATTTAATCTCCCTAAACAAATCACTGTCATATAAGATGATCTTCAACAATTCCTTAGAGGCAAGTAAAGAAGCCCTCAGGTGCGGGGGCAGTTCATTCGCAAAAACATACAGAATTTGGATAGGTGTCGAAGGGCTGAGACCAAGGCAACGACGTAGATTATTATTCTGTAAAGTCCTAATCCTATTATCAATATACTGAGGAGAATGGGCCGTAACAGAGCGAGCATATTCAATCTTGCCCCTTGCAAAGCTCCTATAAAAATTTAAGGCCACATCAGGTCTGCGACCTGCTTTTACACTAGTCAGTTTTTTCAGAAGATTGACCGCCGACAAAGATTCGCGAGTAACACGGTCATAGTACTCATTCAATGATAGGGTATTCTTAATTGTCATACCAAGGAACTTAAAGGAATTCACCATTTCAATAGGGGTACCATCAATAGCCAACTTGACAATTTTCGTGGGAGCAACTCCAAAATACATAGTCTTAGTCATCGAACTATTAAAAGTCAAGTTAAGAGAATTACAACGACTACCAAAAGTGGTAAGTTTACGGCCAAGATTCGAAACTGCAGAGTCTTAAAAAATTCATCATATGAAACAATTAAAAAGTCATCAGCATACAGAAAGGCAAATGTGTTAGGGTCCTCAATTGAATGAAGGGAGGCTGTATATAGATTAAATAAAATTGGACTTAGGCAACTGCCCTGAGGTAAGGCATTATAAACCCGAACAGACTTATCACCAAGACAGAGTTCTCTATTCGACAAGAAACACATGAGGAAAACCAAATTCAACCAAAATGTCCCTCAGGATCCTAACATTGACACAATCATATGCACTGCTAATATCAACAGTGGCTAACACAACATTGTAATCCCTTGATTTCAACAAAGATACACAGAAGATGAATTCATTCAAGCATGTGGTGGTAGACATAGATTTCCTGGATCTCCTGGACAGGCAATTAACATTCTCCATGTATGCCATGAGTCTCTCCTTTAACATTAAGTTAATAATCTTCACAAAAACAGATATTAAAGCTATGGGCCTAAAATTGCGAAAGTCATTCCATTATTGGGAACTTGATCCTTAAGATGCTCCAAAAATTCCTGATTGTTATCATTGTCTCATTGGGTTTCAGGGTCATGACCCCTTACATTCTTAACAAAAAGCCAGGCAGACCTAACATTCGGTTGTTGATTTAGTTCAGCAATTTTCTGTTGATAACAGTGTTTCTTAGCCAAACGAACTGCAGATTTCCATGAATCATACGCAACGATAGCATTCTCCAAGTTGACAGGACATGGATACTGATTCGCTTTCATGCGAGCCGCAACATGTCGACGAAACAAAGAGGCAAGGCCGTCATTCCACCAGGTTTTGGGTACCCTAGACGACGAGGTTATTGGATAAGAAGCCCTAGAAATTTCAGTGTTAAATACAGGTGAAATTAATTCAGGATCCTGTTGTAATTGAAGGGTAGATATACTAGTCAGTAATTTACTCTTATATAGGAACTTAACCAGCCTAGTAATTAACACATCCATTGTTGAGACAAGTAAAGTTAAACAAATTCATAAAGTCCAAAATAATTCTTCCCTTGGGATCATCAGCCCTATCACCCCAAAGAGTGTGATGGGCATTAAAATCCCCAGTAAGAATAACATTGTCCATATTCTCAATAAAAGGAATAAGTCTCGATAATTCCGATTGCATATCACGAGCAACCAATTGAGGTGGAAAATAAACGGAAACAAAATTGAAGTTCGGATTCAAATTCAAGGTCCTAACAATGAGAACATCAAATCTAGTATTATTAGCCACCCTTTTGGCGCGTATATTACTCCTTAGACAAATGGCAGTACCACCATATCGGCCATCACATAGTCTACAAAATATATTATAATTCAGCAATTTATAATTAGGATTATTATCGTCAATATTAAATATTTCAGAGAAAAAATTGACATCAATGTTATTATTATTGACGTAATACTCAAGCGATGATTTATTATAAATGAAACTTTGAATATTAAACTGTAGGATCTTCATTCAATAAGCATCCACAATATCAGGAACACTGAGATCTGCATTCCGATCAGGTTCAGGATTCAAGTTAGAAAAAGCAGTAGAAATCTTAGGATTAAAATCTTCAAGAATACGAAGGCCAGGACCATTACCCTCCTTCGCAAAATAATTACGAATGAACGATGTAAATTGGGGCATTACCCTCTCAAAATCAGATACTCTCTCCTTACCATTAATGGTAACAGGAGCAGAGGGATCAGTATTGAGAGGTTGCGGCATATAAAAATGGGGTTTGGGTCTCGGTGGAAGGGGTTTTCGAAGAACAACTTTGTTGTAACGACGAGAAGTGAGAATCTTATTGATTTCCTCATCCCTGTTTTTAACAGGAGCGGGTCGATCAGGACGTAAACTTGGAAATTGTCCATCGTAGTCATTAAAAATATCAAAACTATTGGTCGAATAGGAACTAAGAACTTCCTTCCTGGAAAGGCGTTTTCTTGTCGTTGCCATTGTGGGAGAAATCCCCACATAGAATACACTTCATTTGACAATTACCTGAACATTCAGTTCTGGTACAATTAAGGGACCTTTTCTTTGAGCGGCATTCCTTTACAGTATGCCCCAGACGACCACAATTATTACACTGGCGTACAGGTGGATAGTACAAATTAACCGGTAATGGCAGTAGTCCAAAATAATATATTCAGGGATGTCCCCAGGTACAGTGTCACCCTAGGTGCTCTCTTCATAAAGCGATTAGCGGATACGATGGGAATGTCAGATCGAATGTTAAGACGAATGTATTCATCGTCAAGTTCAATGGGAATGTTACGAATGACCCCATATGAGTATACAAAAGAATCAGGTATAAACGGTCTTAATCCTAGATTATCCAAATTCATAGAAGCGAAATTATTGGCGTTCATAGGTGTATCAAACTTAATTCCAAATAAGGTCCTACAAATCTCCTTAATTAAGAGAATTCCATAAATATTAAGATTTTTAATCTTCTGATACAGAAAAATTGAGTTTCTCATTACCTGATTTTCAGGATCAGCCTTTGAAGAATCAACAATTACCAAATTAATCACCAGAATGATCCAAGGGGTATAATAAATTATTGCCACCATTGCGGTCGGAAGGATTTGAATGAGATCGAGACATTGGACACACATTGGATTCAGCACCATTATTACCATTAGACTTATTAATATCAGACTCACAAGTTCCAGAGGACGGGATAGTGTTACTTAACTTATTCGGTGGGGAATCAATCAGTTCACCCGAAATACATCTCTTACCTAGAGCATGTGCACCCGGAAGCTTACCATCACAAAACTGTTCAAAATCATCACTAGATGCGCTGAGCGGAACAGGGGACGGTTTACCGTCCCCCATTATGACAATTTTTTTCACCGACACCTCAGAAAAAAATTATTTCCACTTCACCAAAAACGAGACAAACAAAAAAGAATATAAGTGAAAAATTTAACACAATAATTTACTTTTAAATTATAAAGTTACTAATTTGTGAAGCAAACTAGTCTCAAAATTCAGAAAACTCAAACACAAAATGCAAATTCACAAAATATCACAAAAAGCAAGATGGCCTCCAATAAGACACAATATTCATTGTTTTTTATTTTCGTAAATCAAAATTACTAAGCAGAACACAACCGAACACTTTAGCAAGACGATTAGAAGTGAAGTAAGGTGACTGCAATAAAGCAAATGATTATTTTTTTATTTTTGTGTAGAGTATGTCAAAAGTTGTTATTGTTTACATGTTAAGAATGTTATTTGTTTACATTTCTTATGTCATTTTTGACATTAGTCTGATTCTAGTACAAAAACAAAATACATGTTTTGTTGTAGTGATGCAGTCACCTTTTTAAGTTATTGTTTTTTTTTATTATTTCTCTTTCATTGTTGGTGAAATTTATTACATTTTAGTTTATTCTTATTCTACACAACAAAATACAACTCTGCTCAGCTGCCGACGTGTCAAAAGTTGAAAGTTTCTAAACTTTTAGCGGCAGTGTGTAATTTGTTAAATTAAAATACACTATTTCAACTTTTTTTGATAGAAGCCTATAACGCGATGCCGCGTACAACGTGTGTTGTGTACTTCCACCTTAATTCTGCTGCCAAAGATAACCTCAAAAATTTTTTAAACATTTCTGGTAGACCCACGAGACAAAAATTTTGTCCTCCGATCGTTTTATATAATGTTAATGTAAAGAAATTAGTTGACCATTTAAACGACAGAAAACTCAAGGTCGTTTACAAAATTGTCAACTCGTCCAAGAGCAAGAGTAAGATATACTTTGAAAATCTTTCTGCGCACTTGGAAATGATGGAAATTCTAAGGGCACAGAATATTAAATCGTATTCATTTAATCCTCCAGAATTAAGCAGAGTATCAGTAGTCTTACGAGGCTTATATCATTTGAGAGTGGTGTCTGAAATTAAAAGTGCTCTTGATGTGGAATTACCAAATACACTCGATAAGGTCAGTTAACTTATTACGCAGTTTTCTGCTAAAAATAATAATGACACCGGTTTATTTACTGGAACTAAAAAATGTAAATAAATTACACTACATCCTTAAGCTATAACTTGGGAATCATCCAAATTAAAGAAAAATGAGATTCAATGTTTTAGATGCCAACAATGGGGGTATTCTGCGCGAAATTATAACTCTAAGTTCAATTGTGTTAAATGTAATTTGTCCCATGAACCTGGTTCTTGTAGTATTAAAAAGGGAGAATCTTCTCCAATATGTGTTAATTGCAATGAGACTGGACATGCTGCTTATTATAGGGGATACCCAGCCTACAAAAAGCATTTAAAGCATAAAAAGGAATTATTGAGTAAGGCTAAAGAGATGAAGATGAAAATGCAATAATAGGTAGACTTCGTTTGCAAGTCTTTTTCACACAGAGCTCCAATCGTTAAGGAATTTTTTCTCAATCCGACTTGTGTTCTAGTCCCGACACTATCAATAATGTGTCACGGTCACATGTTTATTGGGGAGAATTTTAATTTCAGAAATACGAACTGGGGATTCGCCCCAGAGCTGGCAAAAAGAGCTGAAAAAGATTTTCCATCGGAACGGTAATAGAAGTTCGAATGAGTATCGTCTCTTAAGTGGTCAGATGAAACTCCTTAGGACAATTATTAAGGAAAAGGTCGATATTAATCAAGCAAAAGAGTTCAATCATAGGATAACAAAGATAAAGCCGAGTCCAAGAGCCTTCAAGGAAGTATTCAACATTGTTGGTAATAAGAACTCTAAGGGATTCTCGAAGCTGATTGCTGATGATGTATTATTTGACAAGGACGCTGATAAGGGACGTCAGTTCGAACAGCATTTCTCAAAAATGTACAGATTTGTTAATCCTGACACATCCATTTCACCGACATTTCCGAAGTTAGTAAAATTGTAGGTCTTTAAATTCTAAGAAATCTTCAGGAGCGGATAACCTGTCCAACTTTATAATAAAAAATTGCCCCCGTCAGCCATTAAAATGTTAGTTATTATTTGCAATAATTGTCTCAATAACCGATATTTTCCTAAGCTCTGGGAATATGAAAAAACCTAACAATTTTCGAATTGATAATGCGCGTCCTATCTCTATGCTATCAAACATTGGTAAATTGTTCGAGAGAATACATTTGTTAAGGATTGAAAAATCTCAAATTCAGAATGGAATACCGAATCAACAATTTGGTTTCAATCGAGGCCATTCATCTGTTGATGCATTAGTTCATTTACACAATGAAGTGATTTGCAACTTAAGGGACCAAAAATGTACCATTGCTATTTCTTTGGATATTGAAAAGGCTTTCGATAAAGCCTATCAGTTTGGCATCATTTATCTATCTTCTATATATATAAAAATGAATGTGTGTTTGTTTGTATGTTTGAACGTTATAGACTACTAAACGACTGAACCGATTTTCTTGAAATTTTCACAGCGTATTCCTGCATGTCTGGAATAGGTAATAGGCTACTTTTTGTTTCGAAATTTCAAGTGGGCGATGAGCCACGCCCACATTAAGAAAATATAAAATCAGTATATTTGAGATAATGTAACAGTTAGAGTCCTCAAATTTTGTCGGAGCCACTTTAGTGTCAATATGATCATTTAGGACAAAAAGTAGGCGGACTAGCGTTAGGGGGCGTGGTACCCCCCATATAAATTAAATACAAAAATTCGTTTATCTGGGAAACTAATAGAACTAAATTCTTAAAATTTAGCACGAAGAACTTTAACATCCATGTAAACATTTTGGGTAATAAATTGGCGGACTACCCATGAGGGGAGCGGCACCTCCCTTATTAATTAAAAACAAAAATTCGTTTATCTGGGAAACTAATAGAACTAAATTCTTAAAACTTTGCACGAAGAACTTTAATATTCATCTGAACATTTTTAAGGAAAAACCTTCATCTGGGGGGCTTGGAGCCCCCATATGAATAAAATAGAAAAATTCGTATATCTGAGAAACTATTACATGTAGAATCTTTAAATATTACATGAAGTACTTTGACATTAATGTGAACATTTAGGGAATAATTGGCGGACTTTAAATGGGGGACTTGGCTTGACTTCCCATATTAATTAAATACAAAAATTCGTTTATCTGGAAAACTAATAGAACTAGATTCTTAAAATTTTGCACAAATTATTTTAATATTCATCTGAATATTTTGGAGGCAAAAGGGCGGACTTTCATCCGGGGAGCATGAAGCCCCCACATGAATTAAATTCGTATATCTGAGAAACTATTAGAGCTAGAATCTTCAAATTTTACATGAAGAACTTTGACATTCATGTGAACATTTAGAGAATAACGGGCGGACTTTCAATGGGGCGCTTGGCACCACAAATATGAATTAAATACAAATTTTTCATAGATAGATAGAAATTGGCGAACTTGCAATAATTTGCTTGGCATCTCTCATATGTAACATATTGTTAATCTGGAAAACTATTATAGTTAGAATTTTTAAAATTGTTAAGTGGGTTTTTTATTTAATCAGTTTAAACGGCTAAACTGATTTTCTTTAAATTTTCACAATATCTTCCTGTATGTCTGGAAGGAGTTATAACTGCTTTTTATGTTGAAATTTCAAATGAGCGAGGTCCCACGTATAGAGTCCCCAAATTTTGTACAAGTAACTTTTGTTTAAATACAAATATTTTGGACAAAAATAGGGAGTTCAGCAAAAGCTGGCGTGGCACCTCCCATATGAAGTAAATACTAAAATCTCATTATTAAAATATGTATATCTAGAAAACTATAATAGCTAGAGTCCCCAATTTTGGTGCCTCTCGCGTGAAGTAATTACAAAAAATTGTATATTCTTATCTATATATATAAAAATGAATGTGTGTTTGTTTGTATGTTTGAACGTTAGAGTCCTCAAATTTTGTCGGAGGAACTTTAGTGTCAATATAATTATTTAGGACAAAAAGTAGGCGGACTATCATTCGGGTGCGTGGCACCTCCCATATAAATTAAATAAAAAAATACCTTTATCTTGGAAACTATTACAGTTAGAATCTTCAAATTTTGCACGAAAAACTTTAACTTCCATCTAAACATTTTGGGTAATAAATTGGCGGACTACCCATGAGGGGAGCGGCACCTCCTATATTAATTAAAGACAAAAATTCGTTTATCTGGAAAACTAATGGAACTAAATTCTTCAAATTTCGCATGAAGAACTTTAATATTCATCTGAACATTTTTAAGGAAAAAAGAGCGGACCTTCATCTGGGGGGCTTAGAGCCCCCACATGAATCAAATAGAAAAAATCGTATATCTGAGAAACTATTAGAGCTAGAATCTTCAAATATTACATGGAGAGCTTTGAAATTCATGTGAACATTTAGAGCTTAACGGGCGGACTTTCAATGGGTGGCTTGGCACAACATATATGAATTAAATACAAAATTTCGTGCATCTTGGAAACTCTTATATTTTTCAAATTTTTATAGATAGATAGAAATTGGCGATAGATAGAAACTGGCGAACTTGCAATAATTTGCTTGACATCTTTCACATGTAACATATAATAAATCTGGTATTTATTTATACATATTCCTTTTAGGGTAGCAAAGCACACTGGGTATAGCTAGTAAACTTATACAAATGAGATGTGACTCCTTTTTGATAAAAATGTTTGTAAGCTATTTTAAGGACAAAAAAGTTTTTGTTCAAATTAATGGTACCAAGTCTGACTTTGGTGATATTTTTAGTGATGTTCCACAGGGAGATATTTTAGCTCTATTACTATATAGTATTTTCGTGTACGATTTTCCCCACATCTACAATGACTCTAAGAGCATCATACACGCCGACGACTCCCTAATTTACGCCCATGACAGTGATCCACATATTGCACTTGCAAAGATTCGGGATCATCTTTTAGTGATTGATGAATACTACGGGAATTGGGATAAACACTTCGAAGTCGGAAGCAATTTGCTTTCGGAACGCTTCAGGGAAAGGTCCCCGAGTTGTGGTCAAGCGAAGTAAAACACTGAATCTCACGTTGAATGGCTCTGTTATCCCTTCCAGGGATTATTTGAAGTACCACGGAGTAACATTTAATAAACTTTTTAAATTTTATTTTCATAAAATTTCGAAACAAAAATTGGAATTTTGAACATGAGCTTCACCGATTTCGACAAAATTCGGTACATACAATCTTCTCATTCATACGAAATTTAAGTTCTCCAAAATTTCCAAAGTCGTTACAGTTTAGAGAGCATATTTCCTGTAGTTTAATATTACTAGTTTTTTAATATTATATGTAGTTTTAACATAAGGATAATTATACCAAAAAACTTCCTTTAGTCAAGGATATCTCAAATAAGGTATCTTCCATTTTCTGTATTCCTTCACCAAATATAGCTTATAGTGTTATAAGCAAACATAAAAAATCAGAGTAAGACAATGGGAGAATCTCGAGATAATCAGCTTTTAGTAAAATATTATTAGGTCTGGACAGTAATAAAACAACATTTGTAGACAAAACATTGTTGTAAATCATCTTTTATTCCTGTAAATGTGTATTTTACATAATATTACATATTTTTTTTATTTAATAAAACTTATCGAAATGTGATGATTTTTGTTTAACATTTTATGTGATAAATTAATATTTATTATAAGTATACATTTTATTTTAATTAATAAATAGAAATTAAACATTTCAAGTCTTTTTTCATTTAAATTACGTATTTTTTCTTAACTGTTTATATTTATACATATGTCAATACAATTAAACATGTAGAACATTTTATAGCTTTTTATAATTCATTTATGTATACAAATAAAAATAATAATAATATGTATTTAATTACATAGGTATACAATATTTTTTTAAATTTGTTTTACAAATTTTGGCTAGAATTTTTATAATATATTTAGTTTAATACAAAGTTTGTAACAAAAATTATATGTTTAGGACCTGATTATATAATAAATATTTATCAATGGTTTATAAAAAAAATTCATACTAAATTTTTTCTGTAAATCTTTGATAAATGTTTAAGAATAAGACCCTATTATTTATTAGAATTAGACGTCACTTTCTGAAACTTATATAAAAATAATTTTATTAATTATCTCCAGTTAGAATATGTTTTACTTTTTATTGCAAAGAACTGCTCTTAATAAATAAATTTTTCATTGGATGGGTATCTGATAGGAAGTAATTAACTGTTTCTGAATATACTATCTATATCTCTAACTGGTTTTCGCAAGTTTTTATTGGTCGAATTTAATAAACCTTTTATTTGTCAATTACAATTTATACTTTTAAATTAATTTACCGAGCAAAGAGATGATGACCATATCCAATTTTAGTAAACAGATCAGAGACTATGGTGGGAATAGAACCCATAGATAGACTAGCCCACAACCAAATAGCTTACAGGGGAATTCAATATTTTTTAAACAATTTATAGAAATGGTCTAGAGAATTTATTTCGAGTATTAGTCTTATTTTCTTTTGCAATAAATCTAGTTTTTAAAAAAATAATTGTTTACAAAATGGGAACAATATTTATTTAGTTTTTTAATAAGAAAAAATACAGTGGATGTATATCAACTAATGTCTTTTTTAATAATTTTTATCTTAAAATTATTTTTTGAGGATAGAGAAATAACCTTAAAAATATGCAGTGCAAACTAAAATATTAATGAACAACAACATTTTACAAATACAAATAATCTATAAATATGTATATAAGTGCTTTTATTTATTACTTAAAATATACGAAATATAAATATTACCTAATAATTAACAACTTTACAAACTTTGAAATAATCAACTTCATTTATCGTTATTTATTCCATAAAAAATAAGTAGAAAAGTGTATTAATACAGTGATCTATCTCATAAGCTCAGCTGAATACTTTTTTCGTAGAAGTTACAAAAACAACAGGCGAACTTTGGCAGATAGTTAAAAGTATAACAAAAGGAAAATTTTGACAGTAGAAAAGAACAAAAACAATTGCCTGTGTTTGTTGTAGATGTTTTTTGTTTTTACTTTTTATCGTAGTTTAATAACTTGTGATCTGAAGTGAGCGGTATTTTTGGGGTTTTAGGGATAGATAGAACCAAGGCGATTGATTTAGAACCAGTTTTGAGCTTAAAAATCTAATGATAACAATTTTTATCTAATATTAATCATTACTCTTTTTGTTGTTTTATTTAAATTAATGTAATTTGAACTTATTATTTTTGCACTTGGTATTTCTTGACCAAGTTTAAACCATCTGAAATCGCTGCATAAACTAGCAAAGAAAAAAAAATTGAGAAGACAACAGTAACTTTCGAAGATTCATTTTAATTTAATAGCTGATCTTTAAGCTGAAAACTGTATCTTAGTATAGTATGTACTGTATAAAAAATCTAAAATAAAATATGAATTTGTTTTTATTTGGTTCTACTATAAAGAAGTTATTATTAGTTATTATTTTTAAAATTATGGTTTTTATGTATGTATGTATTTTACAAAATTGCATTTTGTATACAAGTTCATGCTTTATACACCATTGTTAAATTTAATTTATTTTAAAATGTAAAATTAAACTAGATTTGTTCTTTAGCTAATTGTAATGGCACAGATGGATTAAGTAATAAATAATTTTTTTTATATCAATTGGTTTTTTTAATAACATATTAAATATTCTTGTCTTTTAATATCGTTTACATACAAACATATAAAGTATATTTTTTTAATTATGCAATTTAGTAGTGCAAGAGCAGGCAAAACAAACTTAAGCTTTAATTTTTAATTATAGACTAGATTTACGAATTTTTATTTAATAAACAAATTGCGTAAAAAAACAATATGTATGTAATTATAACGAAAACTCCGCTTTCAAAAACAAAATGGAAACTAATGTACATATCGCTCATTAACTATAAGACTGACATAACTCAAAAAAAAGACGTTTCGAAAATATTTTTATGACATTATACTGTTTCATAAACAACTTTTAAATAGTAATTGATAACTCTTTATTTCATTTTTTATATTTTGGAGTGTTTGGAAAAATAATTTTGGTAAATATGTTCTTCTTTTTTTTTGCAAGTATTAACAGCGAAAATAACTTTATATTTTCCAAAAGCCAGTTTTCAGTTTAAAGAACTAACATCAATACTGCTCAGATTAGTTAATCTAATAAAAATTTTATTATAATAATAATTTTATTTTCTGTTTTTGAGTTAAAGATGTTCGACTGAAGGTCTCCTTATATGACCTCAAACGAAGACTTTCTTATATGCATTAAATTATAGTTCATCTTACAAGTCTTCGACGGAAGATTTTTTAATAGGTCTTCAACGGAAGACAAAGCCTGTGTAAAATTGAAACGATTTCGCAATGCTGATGTAATAAAGATAAGAAAAGATAATTTTAAGAGTACAATTTTTGAAGAAATCAAAAAAAAAAGTCCTATTATTTACCCAATTTTACACTTTTAAATCGATTTCCGCCACAGGTTCCGGTTATCCGATTGGACTAAAATTTAACACCAGTTATTTTTAGACACTAATGAACAAAATAAGATCCATCTAAACAAAATCGATATTTTTCTGACACCTCTAGATGCACACTCGTGTCTGCAAAATAATGCCTTTTGTAAGGCATCGTTACTGCAATTTTTCCCGCTGCGGGTGATCTCAAGACGCATTAGATTAAATTTATTTTTAGATTAACTAATCTGATTGGTCTTTCATCCTTAACGCACTTAAAAGCACAAACTAATATTTAAACTGGAAAATGATTCTTAATTTATTCTATGTGAATAAATTCTTTGATATCAAATTGGAAAAGCTTTATTTTTATTTAATAATTCTATATTTGTTAATGTTTATTTTTATTTAACAAAATAATTTCGGGCAAATGTAAAAAATATCGTTGCAATCAAATCAAATTTATTTGCAACTGATGTTTTCAAAATTCGTAGAAAAAGTTTCAAATATTTTTAACTTTTTTATTATCCAAAAATTTGTTTGAGACTTAAAAAATGTTATGATCCTAATGTATTTAGAATATGTAAAATCTTAGGTTGTTTGCAAACGCACCAAGTCAATTTCAGAAAATTTCTCGAGGAGTCAATCAAATAATTTTAATTTTTTAAAAAATAAATTTAAATGTTTTTGTTACGAGTTATCCAAAATTTAATTATTTTTTTATAAAGTTTAATTTCAAATTTCGGTATTAGTTTGATGTAATGTATAAGATAAATGGATGTTTATTTTCATATACATATTTGTATTACTTTTCGACTAGTCATAGTCCTTTACTGAGTACTCTTTACACGCGTTTGCGTTGTAGTCTCGATTTTTGCAGCGTTTCTCATTGAAAGAAATTTTATTGAAAAGTAGGTATTTTTTCTATATTCAAATTTAATTTCCTGTAAAAAGTGGACTAAGCAAACATTTTATAAAATAATATTTAATAAAAATTATAATATAAACATTTGTTTGTACCTGCCCAGCAGTGTTATAAGTCACGAAATATTTGTTAATTTTGTTTTTAAAAACTGATGAGTATTTTGACACTAACAACATCCTTACTTAGATATAAACAACAATATGTGTATGTCCATAAATTACAGTCATTTCGAAGTCATTAGGTCCACCTGTAAGGACTATGAATGTGGGTTCTAAGATTGAGTGTTAATAGTTTACGTGTTCAGTTCTTTTCCTAGTGCAACATTTGTTCCAAAGGTGGCAAGTTGTTGTTGTGTTACGTAGCCATAAATTGTATTGTTGTTATTATTTGGTTGCAGTGATACATTTGTCGCTGAAACAAGAGTTGCGGCATTTTGCTGCAGGTTATCTTTATTGTATTCTGCGCTTGGAGATTCACGTATATCTGTAATGCATGGTGATGTGTGTAGTGATGACAAGATATTCGATGATACTTTTGTTGTTGGTATATTAACTCCATTCAATGAAGTTGTATTTATTGTTGTTGTATTTGAAACTGGTGAGTTTACGATGGCTTGCGATGTTGCATTATTAACATGTGATTCGTCTGGAGTTGCCAATTTACCTAAAGATTCTATACATGTATAGCCATTTATTGAAGTTGGCGGTTGCTGTTGCGAGAAAGATGGCTGAAACTAAATTGAAATAAAAAATACACATTAATATATATTTATTCCAGACAAGTTTTAACAAAAAATATATACATTAGGGTGGCCCAAAATGGAAGATTCTGATGTTCCAGGCGAAAATGACAAATTAGCTCATTCTAAGTTGCCAATTCATTCTCAGATTTGTTGTCCTGTAGCCAAAAGATCAAAACTGATCTCAGGTCAGCTAAGTTGGCTTCGAAATCAAATAAAATTTGATGTAGATTGAATTTGGAAAAGCCAAAAAAAACCCTTACAGTGAAATTTAATGAAATTTTGAGCAGACCCTCTCTGATTTTGTAATTACAAAGCTCTTAAAGGCAATGGTCTAAGTATTCTTTTGAGTAAAAAAATACAACAAAAACGTCCATTTTGAAAAAATAGGGAAAAATTAAGTGCCAAATATTGAAAAAATATTCTTAAGTTAAACAAGTTAGAGTGCTATATTCGGCTGAGCCGAATATTAAATACCCTCCACCAGCTACTTTTATATTAATACTTTTCTAATTGATCAAATATTTGTAGAAATAAGTTTTCTCATGTCTTAAATAGAAAAATCCCAAGATTTAAACAACTTAAATCTGTTACAATTCCAAGATTTATTGAACATTACAAACGCCATTTTCTTTTATATTTTTATAGCGCCCTAAGATAGGCTTTAGCTGTATTTAGTAATTTGCATGTATGAAAGATTTAAGAATTTTCAAATACATATATATGATTTTGTTCTAAACAAATTGATAATGCAACTAGTTAAATACGGTTAAAGTGCTTTTAGGGGCAGGACCTAGTATGGGAGATATGACCAATTATATACCGATCGTAAAAAATCTTTAAGCTAAATTTCTGTACATAAAAGCTATATTTCAGTAAAATTTTGTATATATATGGTAATTTAGTAATATGTAATGTGTGTTTAAGTGATTTTCTGAAGGGAACCTTGTATGGGATAGACATGGGTGCTATGAACCGATCGTGAAAAAATGTTGAAATAGAATTTTTGTATACAAAACTAATATTTGTGCCGAATTTTGTATCAATAGCTTTATTTGGTAATGAGTTTAAGAGATTTTCGTAAAAGGACCTTGTATGGGAGCTATGACCAATTATGTATATAAAGACAAAATTTCAAAATTCTATATCTATATCATTATTTGGTAATGAATATTGTGCATTTAAGTGATTTTCTGGAGGGGACCTAGAATGAAAGCTATGACCAAATATGGACCGATCGTAAAACAATTTTATAGTGTAATTTATGTATATAAGAGAAATATCTGTGCTAAATGTATGGATATCAATATTTGGTAATGAGCTATGAGCGTTTAAGTGATTTTCGGGAGTGAACCTTGCATGGGAGCTATGACCAGTTAAGGACAGATCGGAAAAAAGTTTCTCAGTAATATTTCTGTGCATATAAGCAATACTTGTACCAAATTTTATATGGATATCTTAATTTGATAATGAGTTGTGCGCGTTTAAGTGACTTTCGGGAGGGGACCTTGTATGAGAGCTATGACCAATTATGGACCGATCGGAAAAAACTTTCATAGTAATATTTCTGTATATAAGAGCAATACTTGTACCAAATTTTATATGGATATCTTCATTTACTAATGAGTTATGTGGATTTAAGTGATTTTCGGGAGTGGACCTTGTATGGGAGCTATGACCAATTATGGATCGATCCGAAAAAAATTAATAATAATATTTCTGTATGTGATAGCAATACTTGTACCAAATTTTATATGGATATCTTAATTATTATGTGTCCAATGTGTCCAATTATGGACCAATCCAGAAAATTTTTTCTCTGAAAGAATTCTATTGACATAAGATTTTAATTTGTAAAATTTCGTGAAGATTCAACATTCTGATGGAAGTTATTAACAAAAAACCCATTTTCCGGAAATATATACTTTTGTATGGAAGGTATATGAAATTGTGGACCGATTCTGGCAATTTTCAGCAGCAATCAAGCTCAAAATCGATTTTTTGAGTTGGGTCACCTGACATGAAATTGCCCATATATAAAATACATATATGGGTATATTGTTCACAAAATTGCAAAACTTTAAATGCCTAAAAACTCGAGCTAACTTTTTCAAATCCTTTGGGGATTTTGGTCTACTAATGGACTACTTTCATTTCCCTTTGGTCTCATTCGGGAAAGATTTTCTTGTTGCACAGTGTAATTGATGAAACGTCATTTGAAGCGCCTCTCGAATATCTTTCACATGATATCGAACGTCATTTGAAGCGCCTCTCGAATATCTTTCACATGATATCGAACTTTACATTATTCCTTTGCGAGAAACATTTAAAAATTAAAAACCCTTAAAAAAGGACGTATTGACCCAGGTATTCCATTTCTTAATCTTTACCAGCTTTGTGTTGGGTATGTTTAAATACAAACAAAATTTAAAAAAATTTGATTTTTTCTAATTTTTGTAAAAATTTGTATGGAAGTTAGATACAAAAATTTTTGTTAATTACGGAAAAACATATTTGCGTGAATTTGTTTCCTGATTTTTTTGAGAGATTTCTTCCACTTGTTTGCTATGAATTGTACATAGTTTAGTAAAGTAAAAAAGAAAAACTTACCAGTTGCTTAGCAGCACTTGGTTGAATATAACCATCATTGGTCATGGTTGGGAATGTTGAGTTGAAATGCGGCGCTGTTGAGACATTTCTATCGCTAGCATTTAAAATTGATGCCAACAATTGTGAATTGTGTGTTACATAACCATTGTATGGCTGTGAAGTAAAATTTTGAACATTTTCATTCTCCTTACTATTGATTTCATCATTATCTTCTTCCTCCCCCTCCTCCTCCTCTTCACAGCCAGATGCAGGTATCGTATTGTTACTGTCTATCGATGATAACCTTTTAATCTGGTGATGGTCATGATATGGGTGATTTGAATTCGTAGTTGAACTAGAATTGGAACTTAATTCTTCATTAGTTGTTTCTAGTGAAGGATGTTCACCTATTTGTTCTTCCTTCTGGTGATCATTGGAGCTGTTCGTCGAAGAAAGTGAGGATAATGCGTTCGAAGAACCGCTATGGAAATTTGTTATTAAATTATGATTTTCCTTGTGTCCATACGACACCAAACAATCATTACTACGAGATATATCCGAATGGAATTCTTTTTTCGTTGTTGATCCCAGTTCCGATCCATTGCGTGGGTTGTAATCAGGAACTAAGCCCACAGGTAAAACCACTTTAATATTTTTCATATTAATAATTTTGTTGCGAATCCAACAGGATATATAAGCAGCAAATATAAATACTATAATCAATGCCAAAGCGTATATTAAGGCCTCTGAAATGCCAGAGCAAGTAATAATTCGCTTATCATTAATCCAGGGAGAGGCAAAATAAAACTGGCGATTATCATTGTGGAAAATGGGCACAGTCTTGGCCTCAAAAAAGTTTTCATATTCATTAGCCTCCAATTGACAAAAGTCCTCGTCAATTGGAGCACCGGCCAATATAGCATCTTTATTCATAGCTACAATTTCCCGATCAACTTCCTCTTTTTCTCCTACATTGACTGCTCTTACCCTTAGCGTATATTCCTTCTTTGAATTTAAACAAGGATTATTAAAGCGGCAACTACGACCTCTAACAATAGACACCCGTTCATATACTGTATTACTGTTCTCGTCTTTCCACGTAAGAGCAACTACATAAAATATATGCCTTCCAGAGGGCAAATCTGGTTGATCCCAAGATATTACACCGTCTTTGGAACTATTAAGGTTGCGTGGTCCCGATGGAACTAAAAACATAATTAAAAATTTATGATGTAAAAACTATGCCGGCCAAATAATCAATTTTAAATCTTACTTCCGATGAGAGTGGTAAAGTTTATTCGCCTGCTGGGAACAGATTCTTCGATAGTGTGAGCAGTAACATAGACTTCGTAGTTTGAATAGCTACTGAGGCCAGTCAAGTTGTAGGATGTTTGATCAATAGATGTTGTATTTTTTTCAAATGTCTGATCAGGATATTTTCGCCTATAAATCAAGGAAAGATATTAAAATTATACATCGTAAAATACAAAATAAAATTCAATTTTTGGGGTGAGATTTACATTTTAATAATCGTCCTTTCATATTTTATTTGATTTTTCATAAACTATGAAAAATACAGAAGATATAGAGACACACAAGCAAAGTAATTTAAATAATGAATTTATCTCATCACATGATATTTTTTATAAATTTCAGTTTCGCACAAAAAGGTCATAAAAGGGTATTTGCAGATAAATGTAATTTTCATTGATATGATTAATGCGTATTATTATTATTTTTTACTTAAATGAGTTTGTAATAAAACAACCGAGAATTTATTGAAAACTCGATCATACGGAAATAAAGTAAAGATTTATGATTTTTTTGGTGTTATGGTGTAAAACTTACCAATAAATTGAATAGTGACTTAAAATTCCATTGTTTAAATCTGGCGGGCTCCAGTGAATTTCAGCCGATTTGCTTGTCACTTTGTTTTTTATATATCTTATATGTTTCGGTGGAGATGGTGCTAAAAATAGTTTGAAATATGGAAAATACAATGACAGGAATAATCAAGTAAGAGTACTATGTATATCCAGCTATGTATATTGAATCTTCTAAAACCTTCATCATAGTATTTTTTAACAAAATTTTTACATATTTTATAATTTTTTAAATTCCAATTTTTAATTTTTACAAAAATTTTCTTCTTTTCCTCGATATTATTTACTGATTTTAAATATCAAACTTCTCGAACTTGATTTCAGCAAACATCAAATATACGGACAGACGGACATAACAAAATCAATATCCGCTATCTATTAGGTTTCCAAATACATATGTATATTCTTTGTACAAATCACAAACGGAATAAGTTCTCACGAAGTTGAAGGGCATAAAAATATCTATTCCACTTACCCATTTGTTTGGTTCTAACACAATTCCTGTCACTAATGCGACCCTGCTTGCTCGAAGAATACATGAACATATTCAAACATACTTTGGTGTATGCCGGTAAATCGGAAATTGTATAATTTCGATACTCCTTTTCCTCTCTTAAAAGCTCGACAGTAATTTCAGATGTTACACACTTATCGTCTAAAGATGCTTGGCAATATGTCAAGTTATATCCTTTAAGTATGGAGGCACATACACTTCCGGAACTCCATTTAACTAAGACTGCACTTTCGTTAAGTGCATTAACCTCTAGTTCCATTTTCATAAGTTCGCTCGAAACATCACCTGAACATCTAGCCCATTGCATGCCTTTATTGTAGTGTGGATAATTGGCTGATATTGCCAAATTTAAACTGCGATCTTTCGGTTCTGTTGTGAAATTTGTAGCGTCTTTGTCTAAATACTTGTACGAAATTGGTCCCTACAAGGAAATTGCAATTGTTTTTTTTTATTATTTAAATCATTAAAAACATACAAAATATATTTTAGATAATAATACCAATCTATTGCATTTAACCTGGTTCAATTGATTTAGTTAGTACATATTATCCTTATTGTCTTAACACGTACAAATTAAATTTAATTATAATTTACAACTTTTCAAAGTTCTGAAATACGTACTATTAGGATATATAATTGTAAATTTCTAAAATACGATTCGATTTCATATGCAAACATATATGTATGTAGTTTGTCTTAAGTAAACTCTACATTTAAATGAAATATTCATTTCTATAACAAAAATGTCTAAAAATATGAATTCTGATATTATCCATGTTATATGCAATTCTACGATCAATTACAAATGCCTCTACTTACCCTGCATTGGTTTGGCAATTCAATTTTCGGTAGACACCAAAAAACTGTGTAATTCAATAATTCTGCAACATTTGGCGGTGGCCTCCAGGATAACGTGTAACTACTGTTGTGATAAACTTTTGCAATATTATTTTCATTGAGTTCGTAACGGGAACTTGCACTGCGATACACACGTATTACATTATGGTAAATGCTTTCGCCATTATCATTTGCGCTTTTGATAATAAACGTTTGCATACTTTCATTTTTCCATGCTAATGTTAAGGAAGATTCCTTTGTTTTAGTGCTAAGCCTGTTCGTATGAAACCAATACAATAGATACAAACCGTAATTAAATGTTTCTTTTCTTCTAATTAATAAAGTTAAAGTAGAACTTACATAACGTCACCATTTCCGTTTGTTTCATTTACAATATAGTGAAAACCTGGACCATTGTGCTCATGTTCAGGCATTTGTTCCCAATACAAGCGCAGCTCTGTGTCAGAGCTATCGATATAAAAACTACCTAACGGTGCTTCAGGGGCCCTATGTGGTCTCTCTGATTTCGTGCGAAATGATATAATATTTTCTTTGCTCCAAAAATCGTCGTTGTTGACGGCGTTTGATTTTACCCTCACCTTGATCCAGTACAGCCAAAATGCATACAAATTACTTATAATTATATTACAAGTGCCATTCTGACACTCTAAATCTCCCATCTGAGGTGTCTGCCAATTACTGTTATTATCGCGTATTTGAATATCATACGTTAGTCCCTTTTCGATATAATATGAAATCTTGAGTTTCTCCAAAGAAAGCGCAATACTATGGCTGGTAATATTTCGTTGAACTATGTCCACAGCAGATGGTATAACTGTAATCACAATTTATTCAAATTAAATTATGCATATAATTGTGTATATGTATTTAAATATTCAGTAGGAATAAAAGTCTTAGAAGCAGTTTTTAGGTGAACGATTAGCGATTAAATTAAAAATTAATCTTCGAAAATTGTTTATGAGTACTTGATTCGTAAAGTACTTGGGCAAAAATGTTAAAGCCTTAACAGCTAATGCATATTACACTTACAACTGTTGTTATTTTTTATAAAACATCCTGTTTTGATAGCAAATTGTGACTTTTTAATTGACGCACAGTGGTATAGGAAAAAAAAAGAGGGAAATAATTCGGTAACTTCTAAACGGTTAATCCGATTTTGATGAAATTTGGTATGCACAAAGAGGAGGTTTTGAATTTGGACCTTATAGGCCAACCAGGGGCCCGGCGGGGGGTCCTTAAATTAGGATACCTCGGCTATGTTAAATTTTTAAAACGATCCTATTTCTTCATTTGAGTTCCGATTTAAAAAAAATTTCATAAAATTTCCTCATCGAGCACTATAAAAAATGTCGTCGTAGCAGTAAATTATCTCTTATAGTTTAGGAGATATTCGCATTTGAAAATTAAAATTTTAAAATTTTTACCGTCCTTACTTTAGTTTTTTTGATAATAGCGGGTCCAAATATTCCCAAATATTTTTTTATTCGCTTAACAACAAGTTTATATATCAAGCAGTGAAAGAATTATGTAAAAATCATGACTGAGTCCAAAGTTATAGGCATTTTAATTTAAAAAATTAAAAAAAGGCGATTTTTGTAATTTTTTGGGAAAAAAGTATCTTTTTCTTTTTAAGTTATCTAAAAAGTTTCTAAGAAGATGTATATAGAATTTATACTTTTTGGAAAGCTGACTTTACATAAAATACAATAAATGAAACAAAACCTAAAAATTTTTGATACCGAGGGGACCAGGTCCATCCAAAAAACCCTATTTTTTATGGAAAATTCAATTTTGAGCAAAAATTCTCAAATCGCATAGTCGATATCAAATTATAGTGACCTGTTTTATATGACCCAATATGTTCTTAATCATTTTGTAACGGGTTTCGACAACCCCGCCCCTGGTATGGATACAATAGGCAAAAAACCAAAAAATCCCATTTTTGGGATTTTTTAAAACTTTTTTGGGAATTCCGGGATTTCTAATAAGAAAATTCGAAATTTTTATTTAATTTTGGATTTTGAGTAAAAAAATCTACCTAACTGTAAAATTTCATCAAAAAATATTCATAAAGAAAATTTTTATTGCAATTTGAAAAATTTGTATCTTCGCAAAAACTGAATAAAAAACATTTTTTAATTTTTTTTTAAAAGAAGTATTCAGAAAATTACCTTTCCATTGATATATAACATGCCTACCTAATGTTTTTTAAGTGACAAATTAATTAGGGAAAACTCAACATCTTTTAGAAAATTTACCTAGCACTATTATTTTCATCCATAAGGTTAACTCTTAAATTTGTTACATATATGGATGAAAATAATAGTGCTAGGTAAATTTTCTAAAAGATGTTGAGTTTTCCCTAATTAATTTGTCACTTAAAAATACTTCTTTTAAAAAAAATTAAAAAATGTTTTTTATTCAGTTTTTGCGAAGATACAAATTTTTCAAATTGCAATACAAATTTTATTTATGAATATTTTTTGATGAAATTTTACAGTTAGGTAGATTTTTTTACTCAAAATCCAAAATTAAATAAAAACAACTCCTCTTTGTGCATACCAAATTTCATCAAAATCGGATTAAACGTTTAGAAGTTACAGAATTATTTCCCTCTTTTTTTTCCCTATACCACTGTGTGACGTTTAATCTTTCACTTAAAAACCCGCTGTTAGTGGTGAGAATATTTTATATTTTAACAAGTTAGAATGCTATATTTAGCTATGCCGGATCTTAAATATCCTTCAGTTCAAAATTAAAACTAGTTGAATAAATTATCAAAATAATAGTGGATTGATTTAAATTTTATATTTCCTTAATATTCAATAATTTTAATAATTCTTAAAGTATGCTATGGAAGATAACACGGTCACACAACATACTGAAATATTACATTTAACATAATATGAATATGATTTATTTATTGTATGGGAGCTATACGAAATTGTGGTCCGATTTTTCTAATTTTTAACATATGTACATTAGAAGTGTAACCAAAAGTAGTACCCACCCAGTCTAAAACCACTCACAAATAAATTTACATTAATTTTTAATAGTATATAATCTACATGTTTGGGTACTAGATTTGGATGAGAGATAAACAGCAGCTCCTATTCTTCTTTTTTCTCCTTGTAAATGTCATTGGTCAAATAATGACATTTGTTTATATCAAAAATGTTCGATTTTGTATTAAAAAATGTTACATTTTGTTTAGAGTAGATATTGAAAACTTTTAAAGCATTTGCCGCGGAAACTTTTTTGACGCTCGCGAAAAAGTGAATTGTATACTTTTTTCGCGATCTTTTTTATACTCTATATGGAATAGAATGGGGCTGATTTGAAATTTTCTAAAATTGTGTAAAAGTTATAACACTAATGTACATAGTGCATCCTTGAATGAAAAAACAAAAATATCGAATTAAAATGTTTCTGAATGCAATTCACTTCTTAAGACATCAAATTATTCTCAAGCTATTAATAGTTAGAAAAAAATATAATATTACCAATTTTGTGATTATTTATTGTAAATGTTTGTATATTTTCACCAACATCATTTGTTCCTTTTAAAGTGAATACATATTTCTCTCTCATTGGTAAATAATCGGTTACGTTGCATTTTAATTTGTGATTTTTTTCATCTTCACAGTTACACCTGTGGATAGAGCTCTGAAAGAATAAAAAATGTATTATTGCACAAAAATTTATTACTTTTTTAATACATATTTAAGCAAAATAATATCGAAAATAATAAGTCCCTGGAAAATTTTTAAAATTTGTTCTAGGCTAGGTTAGGTTGATAGGAGGATCTATACTGTGCCTGTTGTGCGCTCCTTTTCATGGAAAAAATTGTTCACTCATTATTTTTGATAATTTTATTATTTTTTCAATGTTCAGAATCTCAGTTTCCTGGACGTAATTCCTAAGAATTTTCCAATCAGTGTTAGTCAGGATTGTTATTTCCGGAATAATAACACTACCAAGATACTTTGATCTAACTTCGACGAATGCCTGACAGTGGTAAATAAATTGCTCCAGAGTTTCACTGTCCTCTCCACATGCTCTACATTCTTCTGAATCCACGCGTCCTATTTTGTATAGATGTGCTCGTAATCCTGTGTGTCCACTCAGAATACCTACCATCATACAAGCTTCAGACTTGCTCATTGTGAAGAGATTTCTCGTTTTGCTCTCATCAGGGTCACCCCACAGGATCTTTGTGGTACTATCCACCGTTTCATTATTCCAAGAGGTCAGGTTAACTACCTCGAGCTCCCTTCCTTTTAAAGTTATTAAATTCGCCCTTTCGTTGCCGACTACTCCCGAGTGGCCTGGTACCCATATGATGTAAACCTTACCTCTGGGAGAGTATTCAGTTAAAGTTTTCTTACAATTCAATACGGCCTTAGATTTAACTCTATCGCCATATTTATTCTAATCTAATTTATACATTCCGCTATTGCTCGGACTTCTGCCTGGAAGCTTGTGTTATGATTAGGTAAATGGTGGTATATCTCTGTTTCTGGGTCTTCAATATAGAACCACAGGCCCACTTTGTCCTCCAAATTTAGAGCCATCCGTGTAACAACGGTATTTACTCTAATGTTCCGCTTGACCTCGACATTATATCTGGGATCAGCGTTTCAACGTTTCCGACATATTCTGTGTCTGGTATGCGTCCAGTATTTATTGATGACGTGTCCTATAACCACTTTTGGCCAGTTCGCCTAAAGTAAAGAGCCGGTCGGCTGTAAGCGCCACCTTATATTGGCCGCCTAATTACACTTTTATACATTTTTCATAGTAGACTAATACCCCATTTCATGCCTATAGCTCTCCTACATAACGTCCAGCACCGATGTGCCTTGTTGATCCTATCCTCTATATTGTGTCGCCATTTTAATTTCCGGTCAAGGATTACACCTAAGTACTTAACTTTGTCTGTCACCGGTATCTTCTTGCAAGGTTCAGTATACGTAGAAATTTGTGTCTTTCTTTCCGTCTTCGCCGGGTTAACATTGATGCCTCTCGGTTGAACCCAGCTTAAGGCCGTATTCAGAGCCTCCTCGGCTCTTCTTCAAAACATTTGTTCTAAGAAAAATTTGTTCTAGAATGAGTGCAAAAGGAACCACTGCAGATTCTTTAACAACAACCTTAGAACTAGTAATGTTACCACTTCCTCTGGAACCCATTCCTCGGATCATTCTTGTGATTCTAAAATACTTTTAAAGAGTTTTCAATGAACTAGTTTTTTGACAATAGTTATACATTGCTACTACACTAGTTCAATGAAATGCATACTAGTTCGGAAACAACATCAGATGAAAAAAAAAATTTAAAAATTTTTGGTACAATAAAAATAATTCTACAACAGTTTCTCAAAATTGGTCCTAATCATAATAACTTTGAATATAAAAACAAATTTTAAATAATGCTAAATGCTAAGCTTCTCTAGAAATAGTTCCAAAGTTGACAAATTTAAACAAAAATCATTGATTAAAAAACTAGTTCCAGAATCACTACAAGAGAATAAGTATTAACTTAACAGTTCCAAAAGTGGCAATTTCGAACAAAAATATTTTTTCTGGTATTTTAAATCACAACTTAAACTTAATAAAATAATAAGAATAAATAAATAAAATTTATATAAAAAACTTACATCTAGTCTGTATTCCAAATCAAAACTGGTAAATATCATATTTTTTGGTCTCGTAAAACTGCATTCCATATATTCGTAATCATATGATATACAAGAGAAATCTGTAACATTTTGGGGTTTTGTACCTGCAAATGAAAATAATTATATGTATATTTATATACATAATGATTTTTAATAATTTGTTTTAAGAAGATTTTTATTAAAAGATCTGATTCCTCAGTATTTTTGTTTAATTTACGAATTATTTATGCAAAACGGAACCAATAAATTACACAAGCTGACAAAATTTTTAAAAACTGGAAACCCTGAAACCAAGACATACTTTTCACACTAAAGTCACACTTTCACATTAAAGGATTGAGTCACGCTGAATCCGAATCTGTTATCTCGTAGAAGAAAGAAGATATGTCAGGTGTTATTTCAAATGGAATACAATATTTTATAAATAAAGTTGTATTGTCTCAACAAGGGCCAAAACTAGCCTTTTTTTCAAACTTAAGAACTTAAGAGATTCGGATTCAGCGCAGCTCAATCTCTTCGAAAATTATACTTTGTCCTTTGGGCCTGTGTTATTTATTATATTCATTGGGATAATAAGTGAAAAATGTAGATCTTGCTTCGAAAGCTAAGACCAAACAAGTAAGAGTTCTATATTCGGCTGTGCCGAATCTTATATACCCTTCACCATGATGTCTTAAAAAACAGTCAGCACGAATTTTATTAGAAAAAAATAACAAAAAATACTAATTGCAAAACATTAAGGTACCAAAAAGTCCCCTTTTATGGGTTCTCATTTAATCTGGGCTCAACATGCATAATTTAATATTTCTATGTTCAATATTATAGAAATTTCAAAAAGTACCTTTTGAAGAACGAAAAAGTGCCCTTTTATGGGTTCACACTTAATCCAGACTCTACATACTTAATTTCATGTTTCTAGGTTCAATATTATGGAAAATTCAAAAAGTACATTTTATAGAAAAAAAAGTAACAAAAAGTCCCCTTTTATGTGTGCTGGCCTAATCCGGGCTCTACATACTTAATTTCATGTTTCTAGGTTCAATATTATAGAAAATTCAAAAAGTACCTTTTGTAGAACGAAAAAGTACCAAAAAGGCCCCTGTTATAGGTTCTAATCAGGGCCCTACATGCTAAATTTCATGTTTCTAGGTTCAATATTATAGAAATTTCAAAAAGTATATTTTTTTGGAGAACGAAAAAGTACCGAAAAGTCCCCTTTAATGAGCCTAATCCAGGCTCTACATACTTAATTTCATGTTTCTAGCCAATAACAACGTAACGTAACATGATGTTCATTCTTTGTTTTGTGTTTATAAACAAAAAAAATTACAATAACAAAACAATTTACCGTTTGATACTGTGTTTTGTTTTTCTTTGATTATTGTTTCTGTATAAGCATGCACGAAAAACGTAAATTTTTAATGAAATTTTCAGAATTGGTCTCGAATTTTTACTCATATCTTCGTTATTTATGGGACGATAGGGCTGATTTTAAATAGCGTTCTATTCGATCGTATTTCCGATAGAATTATTGAAAATTCGGATCTCGCAGATATCCGCGGTCTTCTGAAAACTGATTTTAACATACACACAGACAAACGGACAGGGCAAAATCGACTCCGCTATCTGTAAGGATCCAGAATATATATACTTTATAGGGTCGAAAATAATATATTGTAGAAATTACAAACGGAATGACAAACTTATATATACCCTTCTCACGAAGGTGAGGGGTATAAAATATAATTTTTACTTTAAAAATTTCAACAAATATCAACATACCCACGAATAGTTCTGACTCTCCGATTGCATGTTCTCCAACCTTACATTGATACCGACTGTTTTGTTCAACAGCATTTTGTATCATTAGTACGGCCGTATATGAATCAATTATCTGAAAAATATAGATAAATAAATTAAATAAATCATTAAATTGTTTAAATAATTATAAAATATTAATAAAAACTAAGAATATTATATACATAAATATACATACAATCTAATAAGTCGAGATATTTAAACAAATTATTTAATTTACCCAATATTATCTATACATTTTTGGGTTATCGACTATTCGACAATTTCCAAAACCCGGATTATCTTTAATAATAACAAGTAATAAGTAGGATATAAAAATACCTACATTGTCAAATGTTCATATGCTTAATGCGGAATTAAACTTTTATATACAAATTATTTATTATATTGTATATTTGATGGTGAAAATTGGAATACTTGGTTGTTACCTTTTCCTAGGAATTGAATATCTTAATTTTCACACGAGATTAAAACACAACTTTTGCATAAATTTTGAAAAATGTAGTGTATGGAGCCAAACAATAAAAATCGGACAAATCTTATTGGATGAGGTTGTGTTGAATATAAATTCCAACATATTAAAAAAGACAATATTATATGCAAACATACACTTCATAGATTAACAAACAGTTCTATTTAAATAACATTGTTTTAAGATTCAAAAACAGATTCAAAGTATCGCCACAGTCACATTGCCGCAAATCATTCAAAAGTTCTGACAAATGGCATTGTTGTGAAAACCCGTATTGAAATAAAATACATAATACATTTACAACATTAATGATATGTCAGTTTGGCCTGTAAAACAAGCCAACTTTGTACGAATATTAACATCAACCAAATGTCAGATAGTTCACAAGAATTCTTCTATAATTTAATGGACTTACACAGTAGCATATTTACAATTGTACAAATAAACATACATACATAAATATGTATGCAAGTAGCATTTACCTATAACGAAGTAAAAAGACGCCAAATTACAAGTTTAGAGGCCATTTTTATTTCAAAATAATACAGTATTTACTTACATACATATGTTCATATGTATTAACCAGTGTAAGAAGGATGGCTTAAATAAATAAAAATGTACATTAGAGGTGCCCGTAAAGATTAATTTGCCTTCGGTGAGTATAATTTTATTCGTTAGTATCTTAAAGTAACTAGTGTTTAGTTCAAGTAGACTCAGATTTTATAATTAAGGGCCTCTATTTAAATAAATCACTCTACTTTCTAGAAACACTTATCCTTCTAACATGGTATCTATTTGCCAGCGATATACATATCTGTTAAATATCTTATTTACAATTTTTGGATATTTATAAAGATCATATTAAGAGTATATATATCTATAATCATAAGTTAAAACATAATGCATTCCAGTTCAAAAATTGCTCAGATATGACCAAGAAATAACGACAACTCGATTTTTGAGTTATTTCAGGTTATATTAAGTAAAAGGTTTACCATAAGTTAATACATTATTAAGGGCGCCTCTAATACATATGTAAATATGTATGTATAAGTACATAAAATACATTTTACATAAATATATTTTAACGCAAAATAAATGAATACAACAATGACAGACAGCAGCAAACAGAACCAGGGAAACTCAGAAAAAAACGTATTTCTTAAGTTTATTGCAACTGTTACGATTTAAATCAATCACGAATTAAGAATACAAATACGAATTACAAAAAAATGCTAATTCGTGTAATATACAAATTTTGCGCGTATACAGTGAAAGGCAAAACTTTTGTAAAGCTTTTAACTCAATGTTAACAGTATCCAATAATTATCTAGTTTTTAAAACAATTTTTAATTTTCAATATATTTCATATATACATAGATATCTTAAAAAGCTTATATTCTGAAAATACTTTCGATGAACAATGTTTCTATAGGAATTAATTGCCGGTTCCGACTGACACTTAACATGCATATTTGGTAAAAAAAAAAAAAAATAATTGAACTTATTTGTAGCAAACTTAAAACAAAGGGTTTACTTTTTGTTGCTACTATATGTAAGCTTTTTAATCCCGGTAGGAATTAAAATTGTAAAGAGTAACATCAAAAAAAAAAGATTTATTCAAGCAAATTATTTTATTCTAAAGATTTAATCCATGGCATAAATGTTTGTTCTTGACGAAGTAGAATTCGGTCGTAAAATTTTCGAACTACACTGTCCGTCTGCAACAAATAACAAAATTGGCCTCAAATTTTTCTGAATTATCAGCATAAACTATTGAACTCACGTGGACTCAAAAGGTGTCATATCGATTTCTCAAAATGAAGTTATCGTAAATTGTCGCTGTATTGCACTACATTTCGCCCGGATCAATGTCATACATATTTTCAATCAAAAATGCGGTAACGATTTCCATTAACCCTTTGGCGTACAAAACTAAACAGCTGGACTTTTTATAAATATGAGATCACTATATTTTTTATGTTTAAATCAGTTAAAATCAAAATAATATTTCACTATGGTTTCAATAAAATTTCCGAATATTGCATGGCTTGACTTTGACCTTCACAGTTTATGGTTAACATTATTAAATTTTACTTAAACTTTAGATGTACATATCTGAAATTTTATATTCCGAAATGGTTTTATATAAAAAACATAGTACTAAGGAATTACAAAAAACTATTTTCTCCGAAATCTCGAATGATTTCGGAGAATATAGTTCCGAAATGGCGATTTGAAAATGCGCCATTTAAGAAAATTATGTTTTCTGGTTAAAAATTTGGTTTTAAAAATATTAAAGAACTCGAAAATCAAAGCGAATTTTTAGTTTTTCTTTGTATTTAGAACGGTAATTCCATATAGATTTCGATAAGTAATAAAATTTTGACAGTACTAAAGGAATGTACTTTTTAATTTCTAAATATCGGATAAAGAATTTACATCTATAATAACAAGAATTACAATTAAATTTCTAAATTTTATTAAAAATTTAGATATGTATGACACAACCTATTAGTTTTTATTAAAAAAAGTTTTGAACAACACTATATGAATAGGTAGAATCACATGGGAAATTTGATAATATGTAAATATATCTACATGCACTTACATATTTCTTTAAAAAACTACCAGAGTCCACGTTAAGTACATATGTACATATATACTGTGAAGAGCTCAAACAAATACATTGGAGTTTCAGCTACAATTGCCAACTGTCATTAGAAGATATAAATAACACACATTAAATGTTAGCAATAGGGTTTCTGTGAAAGGAATTCAAAGGAGGAATTTAAAACCTTTAACAATATACATTCATACACACATACATACATACATACATATGTATGTAAAAATTACAGTATTTTGATATTCCTGTAAATTAGAGAAAAAAGTGGGAAATTTCAAACAAATCTGTTTATTATAACAAGTCTTTGAATTAGAATTTTCGAAATTCACAATAAATTAGCAACATTTTCATTTAAAAAAAGTATAAAAACCTATTTTACTTAGTTCTCAATAATGCGAACTCTCACAGAATATTCGCAGTGTGAATTTACATATGTATAGCTTTTTTTCAAAATTTCAATTATTTTCGATACGAGAAGTAATTTGAAAAATAATAAGAAACAAATTTTAAAAAATGTATTGTATTTACATACAAAACTATTAAAGAAAAAAAACTTTTGCCATTGTCATTGGAAAGTTAAGAGAGCGAATAATTGTCTGCAATAAATTTCGAATTGTTGACATTTGTAACAAATAAATAAAAGAAATGCTAATAGCACAACTGTTGCAACAAACCCAAATTAATGTAACGTGGGAATGTTTTAATTCGTTTTCTTTTAACTTTAGTAATATGTACTCGTAAATAATGTTGATATACTTAATAAATAATAATAATAAAAGAAATAAATTCTAAGTAATTTTTATTATCTAAAGATATATGTATTAAAATATTTAATTCAAATTAACAGAGAAAAATTATTAGAGATATTCTTGTTTAAATATCGTAATTAAATATTTAACTAAGATTTTTTTGATTTTTTTGATTTTTCTTAACTTAGATTTTTATTGTTATTACACTAAAATTATCTATAAAAAAAATATTTACCTTGATTTTATCGGATGGTTGTTTAATTGGCCATTTTGTTTTTTCTTCTAGGAACCATATATCCGAACTAAGGGGCTTTGAAAGTCGACACGTTATATTCGCACTACCACCAATTAAAATTGATAACGATTCTGGTTTCATTTCTAGATCAAGAAAATATATAAAATAAACATTATTGTAAATTTTCATGCCTTTTTCTATGCTCAATATTACAGAAATTCCAGAACCAAAAAGTACCAGAGAATTCCTTTTTATAAAGATTCAAATTTTAAAATATTTAGCTCCAAAATGCTTGAAACGAAATCGGTTATGTGTATCATATATTAAATATTTTATTTTTATTTTTTATTGAACTAAAGACATGAAATTAAGCATGTAGAGCCCGGTTTATGTGAGAACCTTAAAAGCGTGCTTTTTGGTACTTTTTCGTTATTTAAAAAGTAACTTTTTGAACATTCTATAATATTGAACCTAGAAACAGGAAATTAGGTGAGTTAGAACCTATAAAAAGGGACTTTTTGGTACTTTTTCCTACTTCAAAAAGTACCTTTAGAATTGTTTATAATATTGAACCTAGAAACATAAAATTAAATCTGCAGGAATGAATTTTTGATACTATTTAGCTCTATGACTGGTACTTTTTGGCCTTTTTGGCACACGTAGCACGCTGATTGAAAATCTATAAAATTAAACTTTCTGGTACTTTTTCGTTTTGTGAATATTAAAACTAGTAATAAACTGATTCTAAAGGACCCAATTGTGTCCAAGTGTACTAGTATAAGTCTAGAACTAATAGTACTAATACTAATAGTAATTTTTCAAACTAGTTAATTTGAGCATTAGGATGGTATAGGAAAGTTTACTTTTGGGAACTAGTACTGGTGATTTTGGTACTAGTAGATTACTACTAGTTCCATTTCCTGCAGGGTATCTACAAAAATATTTATATATTAAGGTGAAAAGTTCGGTTCATCCATTTTTATATACGCCATTGTCAATTGTCATAACAAATTATAAATATTGCAAATTAAATTTATATTACAATTTTTATTCAACTTACCGCCTGGAGATTTTGTAGACGCCGCTGCTGTCATTACTCCTGTGTAACCTGAACATGTCGTCAATGTCCACGGCTGAATAGCAATAAGAAATGTTACGATGAAATGAAAACAACTGAAACTGAGAATAGGAAATTATGAGTAAAACATAATAATTATTTACATATATGTATGTATGTACGTATGAACAAATGTCAACATGATGTATGTAATTAATATATACATAAAAACATAATATGTTAACCATAAGTATATATATAACCGAGTCACTATATTTTACGTGCCCTGAGCTGAAGTCAAAAAATATACATAAATTGCAATCGCATATGAAAAACTGTCTCTGTTATCTTTTTTTCAATGGGAAAAATAACCACTTTTTAAAGTATAGTAATAACAAAATTTTTACTACCCTCTCAATTACTAAAACGAACAATTGTCTACTGGCTAGATTACCCGGAACGTATGTATATATTGAGCAATTGTATCATAAAGATTCTTTGTAAATAATTTAGAAGCTTCATTATTAAATAATTGTCCAATAGAACTAACACTTTGTAAGAATGGATTGATGGATTTATATACTGAATGAAAAATTTGCCAATTTGATATTAAATTTGTTAGCGTTAAACACTTGGTCACATTAATGCCCGAATTCAGAAAGAAGAGAAGAAAACAATTTTTAAAATTTTATACGAAAACTACTCAGTTTTTATTAATGTTTTTCATATAAAATTTTAAATATTGTTGTCTTTTATTTTTTCTGATTTCGGGCATAATTAAAATAAACATCTACATAATTTATCAGATAATTACAATTCCAATGTTCAGAGGATTATAATTCTACCAGCTTTCTTTGACCATACAACTTGAAATTACACAGAGGAAAAAAAATATACACGCCTGGTACCATATTGACACAAAATTTTTCAATAACATGCATTGTCAAGTATATACATACATACAACAACAGCATGTAATGTAGACCACGCAACTTTGCCAAAATTGCAACAATTCGTTGTCGCAATCTAAACTTTATGCACATCCGTTGTCTAAATATTAACAAACGTGGTAAGCTGACTATTTACAACGCATTTTGAGCTTACCACGTTTATTAACTTTTAGACAACGGATGTGCATGTTGTTGTTGTATATATGTATATACTTGACAATGGATGTTATTGAAAAATTTGGTGTTAATTTGGTACCAGGCGTGTTTATTTATTTTTCCCTCTGTGTACATATGTATATCTCTGTGTGTATATATGTATATGAGACTGACATTACTTGATCCAACATTTTTGGAAATCTTCATAAAACAAAACTAGATGTTTTTTGAGAGACCTCTAATATATGTATGTACATTAGATCGACTCACAAAAAATGAAGCTTGATTTACCCTTCTCAAAATATTCGCTGTTATGTCATATAATGTTACCCAAAATATTTTGCGTTTAGTGTTGCCCGTTTGTGAGCTGGACAGTTCTCAAGAAAATATCCTATGGGGGGCATGTAAAAACGTATCCCCCATAGGATATTTACATATCGCCACCTGAAATGCAAAATAGCGTAACAACACTTTTACAAATTTTACAGGAAAGACAAAAACATGTATTGTATCCTAACATCGATAAACACATTTGAACTTTCTTACTTGTGGAAATTCCTAATTTGTTGTTACGCTCTTTTGAATTCAATTTCAATTAAATCGGTATTTTTGAAAACAGGGTTCTAAAAATTTGCAACAACCCAGCATCAAAAATCTTTCTTTTGTTTTATGATGGTTCCCAAAATATTTTAAGTCTAACGACGGCCGTTCGTGACTTAGACCGGTTACAAAAAAGGCCATTGTTAATTATTTTTTTTTTTCGATGTACAGTTTTTTCTTAAACAAAATATACAATATGTAGTATAATTTAGAAGGTGTTTGGAAGCCGTGTCTAACGGTGTTCAAATGGTACACCAATTTGAATAAATTTTTTCAAAAAAAATCTTAAAAATACAGAGTGAGTCGGTCTACATACATATGAATGTACATTTATTTAAATTACTTATTTACTTAAATATAAAATGTTTTTGAATTATAAAACGTTTATTTAATCAATAACAATTTGAATGTTTGGAAAAGTATTTAAGTTTAAAAACAAATTTAATCATTCACAATTAATATAACATCCCGTATAAATCATTCCATTAGGGAATTAATTCAACTACATCGAAAGCTTTAGAAATTAATCTCAGGGAATGCGTTTGATGAACTTTTAATTCTTTAACAGATGTATTTATAAATAATTGACACTTACAAAAAAAGTGCTAATGAATTTAAACATATAATTTGACGGAATTTGGAATCTTAATTCATATAGTCTCTGAGAATATCGAAAAAAAAAAAATACATCGAAGTTAGTATATAGCAAAGAATATAAAGAAATTGGGGCTTGTCAGTTGGTACGTAAAGGAGTTGTCATTCGGTACCTAACTCTAAGTATGTATTGGTAGAATTTTTGTTTTAGTATTGGAGCTCCAACCACTTTCACCACACTTTCCAAACATACATACTTGCATAAAATCGTACATAAAAATTTTAGGAAAAATAAATAACATTTAAATTTCTACATTCGCAGATTTTTTAATTTATTTTGCCCACATCTAATCCGTATACATTTAATAAATATATTTTTCGGACTTAAAATCTCTTTTTTTGCAAAAAAATAAGTTTATTTTAAATAATTATTTCATTTTCAATACCAAAATATACAACTTTGTTTTGTCAATTTTAATTTCAACACACAAAAATTAATTGTCAAAAAAATTAAAAAAATATTTTTTTAGTTTGTGAAAAATAAAAATATTTCGGATTGTTAAATGCGATAAAATTGTGTAAAAAATTAAAAAATAGTTATGTGTTTGTGAAAAAACGTCGTTCAAGTCCTATTATCCCGGCATTTTCGCGAAAAAGTTTTGAAGTATTGTGAGAGAATTGAGTTCTCACAAGTGTGTTGAATTTACACAGAACTCGTCTGTGAAGAGAAGGAAATGTTATTGTTATAAAACAATGTCATAGTCCAACTTCTTATTATTCTTTGGTATATAGCAAAGAATATAAAGAAATTGGGGCTTGTCAGTTGGTACGTAAAGGAGTTGTCATTCGGTACCTAACTCTAAGTATGTATTGGTAGAATTTTTGTTTTAGTATTGGAGCTCCAACCACTTTCACCACACTTTCCAAACATACATACTTGCATAAAATCGTACATAAAAATTTTAGGAAAAATAAATAACATTTAAATTTCTACATTCGCAGATTTTTTAATTTATTTTGCCCACATCTAATCCGTATACATTTAATAAATATATTTTTCGGACTTAAAATCTCTTTTTTTGCAAAAAAATAAGTTTATTTTAAATAATTATTTCATTTTCAATACCAAAATATACAACTTTGTTTTGTCAATTTTAATTTCAACACACAAAAATTAATTGTCAAAAAAATTAAAAAAATATTTTTTTAGTTTGTGAAAAATAAAAATATTTCGGATTGTTAAATGCGATAAAATTGTGTAAAAAATTAAAAAATAGTTATGTGTTTGTGAAAAAACGTCGTTCAAGTCCTATTATCCCGGCATTTTCGCGAAAAAGTTTTGAAGTATTGTGAGAGAATTGAGTTCTCACAAGTGTGTTGAATTTACACAGAACTCGTCTGTGAAGAGAAGGAAATGTTATTGTTATAAAACAATGTCATAGTCCAACTTCTTATTATTCTTTGGTATATAGCTTCATGATTTGATGTGAGCTTCATTTTTATCTAGTCACAAAGTCCTTGTAAATATTTTTTATAACTTTTTTTCATGTATATATGTATGTACATGTATGTACATATGTATACTAGGGTTATAACCAAAATTGGGCCCTATCACTAAGTTATAGCGAAAACATTTTACTCGAGTTTTTACGACAAATCACTTTTTCTCTGTGTAAATGGTACTTGTCAAACAGTGGCGCTTAAAATAATCCCTTAATTTCTAAGCAAAAAAGTTCACGTATTCGTGATGGAAGTGACAAATTAAGTGATAAGAAATTGTAAAATAATATTTGTACAATAACAAAATAATAAAAAATACTTCTTCAAATTTTGTAAATTACGTTTTTAATATATAAAACGCGCGTTAAATTATTGAACTTATTTTTTAATTTTCTAAGAAAATAATATAAATATTTATTTGATTTGAAAAAAAAAAAAAAAAACGTTTTAGGTAATTTAATGAAAAATAAATGGGACGAATGAAAAATTTATTTTACGCAGCAAATTTAGCTAAATTATTTTAATGCATCTGCATTCGAGGAAAATAAAATACACGGAATTAAATATATAAAAATTTTATATGGTTACGGGCCTTAAGCTTTCTTGATAAATCATAACTTTGAATTCGGTGATGTACAAATTAATGAACATTTAAAGTAGAATTAAATATTAATTATTGAATATGTCAAATTATTTTCCCAATTTATATATATGTTTTTTTTGTTTTTCTGATTAATTATGACTATTTGTAACTAAAACCTTCAAAGCTGATGAGTACGGAAACATAGATCTTGTATATGTTAAGCTATATATAACGTTTGTTAGATCTTACAATTCTGTCAGATCTGACAATGTACTGACAATCAAAAATTGTTTGCAATAGGTAAATTGTCAGTTCAGACGAATGTAAGAAAAAATTGCCAACAAAAATTGTTAAGCTGAAGCACCACAGTACGCGTTTTCTAGTCAAAGCATTACGTTTTTTAAGCGTCATTTCTTTTTTTTTTGTAAAAAACTTCGTGTTTTTTTAAGTTTTTATTTACATATATTTTCTCAATTAAAATCGTTTTAGTTTAATGAAATTGATAAATACACATTAAAAATAGAATTAGTTGTCAAAATCAGCTGACATGTTTCTGCGCAGCTTATGGCGCTTACAAAAGTAGAAAGTACATAGCAGCACACAACTACATTGATTCTACTTTTTTGACAGACGCTTAAAATACGAAGGAGCGTAGAACGCGTGGTGTGCAACTCCAGCTTTAGTTCAGATTGTTGTATGGCAAAAGTTACCAGATCCAGGGTTAGACATTGCCAGAACT